CAATTTCAATAGGGTTCGTCCTTGGACCGAATAAGTGATCTATACCAAATTTCATCCAATTAGGATCATAAATGCGACCTGTACAATTTAACATGGACAGACAGACGGACGGACGGACATGCATAAATCGACTCAGAAAGTGATTCTATGCATATTCTCAAAAGGAGCCATAGGTCTATCTCGTTTCCTTTTGCCTGTTACAAACATATGCACAAATACATAATACCCTGTACCACGGTGCGCCTTATAGAAGATCCCTTAAAATGTCTTCTTTTTGTTCAGGACATTCTGAAAAAACTTCAACTTATAGAAGATCCCTTGGAAGGTGTTCAGAGACGATTTGAAAGGGTTTTCTGTCCACTAAAATATTCCTTCCTATAGAAGACCCTAGACGAAGTCCCTTTTCAGAAAAATGGCTCCATGGCCTTCTTTTTAGAACTGAACTATATAAGGCCGTTTGAAATGTCATCTATCTAAAAACTAAGACTGAAGAAATCTTCAATAGAGGAAAGGAATTTTTCCAAAACACTTCAATAGACAAAATGATGTTTTAAATTTATTCTTCTTTTAAAGAATATTCTCTAGTCTAATAACCCTTTGAAAGGGTCGTCAATAAAAAAACGGCCTTTCGTGTTCTCACCTTAAGCAAACTAAAATATCTTGGTGATTTTTGCATTGAAACATCCGTATTAGGCCATATTATACAAAAAGTGGTTTTGGACATTTTGGACTTTTAATATCGTTTTCTTCTTCTGGGTTATCGTTTTTTTGGCACGCAACTTCATAAGGCCATCGAATGGATGGAATTCTGGTTTTTGCCATAGATTTATTCACAATAGCTTGCTGCGAATTGTTGTCAGCGTTATTGGTGTTATCAAAGTGTTTAGTATCGAATTGATAATTTTAATCGTATGTGTGTGTTTGTGTTGTTTCTGTTTTGTGAATTCTTTACATAAAATCACCACCAACATTGATGATTTTTAAAGCATTAAAATTCAAGTTCAAATTTAGCAAAAGAAATAAAAACAATATAGAATTATGCAAATTTCAAATTTTGATTAAAACCCCCAAAAATAAGTATAAATTATAACTAAAGATCAGAGTTCAGCATCATTCAACTTTAGCAGGTCGACATAGAACCAACTAGAAACAAAAATCAAATCAACATGAAATTCATCATTGTTTTCGCCGCCCTCTTCGCCTTGGCTTTGGCCGCTCCCGCCGATGTTGAAATTGTCAGAAGCGAATCTGAAGTTGGTCCTGAATCTTTCAAATATGTGTAAGTAGTGACAAGCAAATTGAAAAATCTATTTGCAAATATTTATTTCAATACTTGTCTTCCTTTCAATAGTTCCGAAACCAGTGATGGCAGCAAGACTGAAGCTGAAGGTCAATTGAACTACATCGGTACCGAACAAGAAGCCATTGCTGTCCGTGGTTCCTACTCCTTCGTTGGTGATGATGGTCAAACTTACACCGTCACCTATGTTGCTGATGAAAATGGTTTCCAACCCCAAGGTGCCCATTTGCCCGTTGCCCCTGAAGCTTAAGTTTTTTCATCCTAAAGACTAATACCCTTATACACCCTGTTCCCCACCCAATCCCTTACCATACCCCTCCTCATCCAACTCCTTAAATCCTTTATTTTTGTAAAATGTTATAAATGGCCTCTCTATTGCTGGCAATATTTGTCAGTGGTAGCTGAGTGTATGTATCGAAGTTGTTATTTGAACTTAGTAGAATAAGTCAAAAGATATTGAAAAAAGAAAAACCAAAATGAAATAGAAAAAAAACAATATTTTTTTTGTTTAATTACAAAACATTTGGCGTTTTATTGTTATAATATTCCGATAGTATCTGTTTGTTAAAGAAAGTTGCTACAATAGGCTAAATATCTGCTGAAAGGTATTTACCTGTATGGCCAAAATTACATTGTGCAATTCTCAGTTTGTGGGCGAGAGTGGTGACGGTTTGCCATTCCGTTAACTCTCTCACCAACAAACTATAGATTTGATGCAATTCATGAACATCAATGAGAAAAAGGCTTTCATAGATTGAATATATGCTGTCTGTAGAAGGCCTTTTGAAAGCCAGCAGGAGCTTTGCCGGTTCACCTATTATGTATATAAATATTATAGACATAATATTTTTGAAAGGTGAAGACTCATTATCGGGTCCTCTTCTATAAAAAAGTCTATTGTCTGCCTATAATGCCTATATGTGTCATCTATGGACAAAATCTTTTTTCATAAGTCTTCCCCAAAGAGGTCTTTCCTTTATGGAAAGATCTTCTATAGAAATAAGTCCTTTCTCTGGTCTTATATAACCTGAGGACTTTTCAAAAGGATTTCTTTAGAGATAATACGTTTCAAAAAGTTTTCTAAACTGAGGACCTTTAAAATGGGGTTTTATAGAAACGACCGCTATGCAAGCGTCTTATTATTTTCACATATATTATTCAAGGACTTACTTACTTACGAGCTTAGAAAAGATTTCCAGGCGCGTCGCCCTTTTGCGCAGTTTTTCCAATTGGATAGACCATTTTCGGCAATGTTATCTTCGACTTGATCTTTCCATCGTATTCGTGTCCTTCCCCTTCTGCGTGCACCATCAGCTGGTTCGCTTTTATATGCCTTCTGGGCTGGGGCATCTTCATCCATTCTCACAACATGACCTAGCCAACGTAGTCGCTGCAACTCAATACGTCTAACAATCTCGATGTCCGAGAATCGCTGGTACAACACAGGGTTCATTCGACGGCGATATTCACCGTCAACGCAGATCGGCCCATAGATTTTTCGGAGAAATTTTCTCCCAAACAATCCATGCTTCAGATCCATATAACAGCACGGGTAGTATCAGCGTCTTGTAGAATGTGAGTTTGGTCTGGGGGGAGAGGCCTTGCTTTTGAGTTATTTGCTCAGACCATAGTAGTATCCGTTGGCCATCACTATCCTTCTCCGAATTTCAAAACTGATGTCATTCGTTTTATTTATTTCGGTACCAATGTATATAAAATTCAAGGACTATCCCATATAAAAATTATATATTCAAGGACTTCCAATCTCTTTTTGGTTGGTGAATATCTTATTCACATAAAATGTCAATATTGGACCCCCACTCTTGTGGCAAATTAGGGTCTATACACTTTGCTACCCAAACAATGCGCTTCATCGAAATATTGGTTTTATATCCCATGTTTCTTTGGACCAAATCCGTTTTAGACAATTTGGAGTTGATTTACATATGTCCGTCCGTCTATCTGGCTGGTGTGCCCGATAACTCTCGAAGGGAGTCATCACCTATGTCATCCAAACTTTGTGCATCGTAATATTTCCTCCAAATTTAGTTTATGTTCCAAGATGGTGAATATCGGTCAACATTGTGCTAAAAATTAAGTTTATACGATCTGGCGCACTGACTATCTTTTTTTGAATCAAATTTTACACAACATATTATCTTCATTTAGACTTGGAAAAGATAATATCTGTACCAAGTCTAAATTAAGTACGAAGATGGGATCCATTCGTCCACTCTTTCTGCTACCTCCCCCACAAATGGTCAGTATTTTAAAAATTTAATTTGAAGCGAATTGAATGACCGATTTGAACCAAACTTTGTACCACATATTATCTTTAGCAAGTCTAGATCAATTTCCAAGATGCGGGTCATTGGTCAACTCCTTCTGTTTCTTATCATATTAAGGTACATCCTAAAATTACAACAAATAGGGTGTAATTTTGGATTCTAATAGGGTGGAAAATTGCCCTAACAAAAAATAATCAAGTTTCGGCGTAGCCCCTATATAACGAGGTACGGTTCGAATTTGTTATTTTGTGTTCTCATTGGGTACCAAATTTTCCTACCAAAAATTATTAATATTGGTCTATTTTTTTAGGGTAAGCTCTAGTCACGCATCACTTTCATCATTTTCAAGGTTTTCCAAACTGATTTCCAGAAGTGTGCTTTCCTTTTTTCCTTGCAGAAATTTTCCATGGCGTCCCTTTTATAAATGCCTCGATCTATTTTAGGTATATTGAATGACTATCTCATGATTAAGGATATAAAAAGTTCGGTCTGGCCAAACTTAACATGCTTTAAAATATTTGTTGTCGAGCATAAGCTCGGATTTTTTTTAAAATCGATTTTAAAGTGCAAATTGTTTAAAAATATTTGTTAAAAATCCCGGATCCTCTAAAAGGTTTTAACTCATTATATATTTTTTTTATTTTTATGAAAATATTTTTTATGGTCGATCTTCTAGCGTGAATTTTTAAATAGATTTTTTTTTCAATTCCAGCATGTATTTTTTTAAAAATATTTGTTATCTTTTTTCTCTTTCTCGGTTTAATGTTATTTGTATGGATTCTAACATATATGCTAATGACAAACTGGATGCCCAATATATTTCCAAAAGTAATTTCTAGGGGGTTCCCCTAGAATTGCTGAAAATTTTAATTATTTAATTGCTTACAAACTATACTAAACTTATATTATTTTTATCATATTGTTAAAACATATATGGCGAATTTATAGACAATAGTTGCTATTGTTCATTGGTGTTGTTGTTATTTATTGACAAAGAATATGCCTTCTTTCCAAGCGACCACGTTTTAATTTCGATCTCAGGTTTGACTTTTTTAATGTTACTATTTTTTCGATTTTATTATTTATCTGATGGTTCTTATTTAAATATTTCTATTAATATTAATTTGTTTCTTTCCCATTTGCTTTTCTTCTGTTTTCCATATGAATTCTTATATGAATATTCAAATTATATTAAACAAATTTGCACTAAATTACGTAATAAATAATTCGAAACTATTTTGTTTATTTTTTTTTTTTTTGTATTCACGCATTCAAAAAAACAAAAAAAAAATTAACATAAATATGCAAATAATTTTATGATTCTAAAATTTTGTATAAATTGCGGAGACAATTCTCCGATTGGTATCACTCAAACGTTAGCAACTCTTGTAGTAAGCCACGCTAAAAACACAATCAAAATGAAATTCATCATTGTCTTCGCTGCTCTCTTCGCCTTGGCTTTGGCCGCCCCCGCTGATGTTGAAATTGTCAGAAGCGAATCTGACGTTGGTCCTGAATCTTTCAAATATGTGTAAGTAGTGAAAACTAAATTAACCAAAAAAACTATTTGCAAATATTTATTTCAATATTCTTCTTCCTTCCAATAGTTCCGAAACCAGCGATGGCAGCAAGACTGAAGCTGAAGGTCAATTGAAGAACGTTGGTGCTGAAGATGAAGCTATTGTTGTCCGTGGTTCCTACTCCTTCGTTGCTGATGATGGCCAAACCTACACCGTCACCTATGTTGCTGATGAAAACGGTTTCCAACCCCAAGGTGCTCATTTGCCCGTTGCCCCTGAAGCCTAAGATGTAGTTGTTGTTTTGTTTAGTTAAAAAATAAAAAAGTTTATTAAAAAATATCTAAGTATTATTATTTAACTATGACTTTTGGGCATTCTGTAATTATAACAACTTTAGTTTCAGACAATTTTGAGACGATTTTATAAATGTCGGTTCGTTCATATGTGTGTGGCTGGCTGGTGCGTAGGATAACTCTCGAAGGGAGTAACCGATTTCATCCAGCCTTTGTAGATCATAATATTTCTTCCAAGAGGGGGAATATAGGCCCACTCTTTCTGGAACCTCGTCCACAAAATGGTCGAAATTGTGCTGAAAATAAATTTTATAATACCATGCGAAGCAAATTCTGTACAAGATATTATCTTTGCCATGTCTAGTTCGAGTCCGAAGATGGGACCCGTCGGTTTTCTCTATCTGGTACCTCCCCCGTAATTGTGGGGGAGGTAGTGAATGTAGTTTGAAGCGTTTTGAATAGCCAATTTAATCAACATTATATCCGAATCCTTTTTGATAAAAACATTATATAAGCGAATAACAAAACCTGTGTATTATTCCGAAGACCTCCACAAACCATAGGCAGAGGAGGGTATAGATCTTTCGACAATATCAACTGTCACTTTTCTGTGGCGACTATGTCCTTTAGTAGATTCTTATGCTCTGCGAATTACAGGTACTCAGGTGGGTAAACTGAGCTAGGAACTTCATTCCGCGCAAAATAGTGTGGGTGCTTTATCTATGGTGGTCCAACATGTGAACCATATCAACAAATTTATGCAAAAAATTGATTTAATCTCCAAGAAAACGGAATACAAATTACAGCCGCTTCTGAGGGATAATTCGGCTAAATCCTTCTATGGAGAGATACACTTATGCGAGGGTTTCTAAAAAATGAACCATTACCAAGAAATTTGTATGAGGTCTTTTCCATGTACACGAGCCCGAAAAGGTTAAATAATGCTGAAAATGAGACGAAACTTATATAGGGGGTATATGCCGTGAAATGACCTAATATTGAACATTTTATCCTCAAATGTCTTTCACCATCCAAGAATGTGGAATCCGATACTTCCTTCGTTTGATATGAGATTTAAATATTTTCAACATTTTGACCCATTTTGTGTGAGTTTCTAAGTGTGGACCGATACGTCTCATATACGATCTCATATTCGGAGCGCAGAGCTTGGTTCTAATCGGGTAATCCGTTCGCATGATATTATAAATTTAATTTTCACTCAACTTTTTTACCATTTTGTTGGGTAGGTACCTGAAAGAATGGACTTATATTCCATATCTATCTAACTTGATCTAAATTTGGAAGAAATGTAATGATGTGCAAAGTTTGGATAGAATCGGTTACTCCCTTCGAAAGTTATCATACCAGACAGAAAGATGGGCGGACATTTGTAATTCGATTTGAAATGGTCTATAAATTTCAGCTTTAAAAAATATAAATGAAAAATATGTATATGTATTTTTATTTGAATTTTAAATGGGGTACGATAGGTGTACCGTCATCAACGAATGTGTAAACGACAGGAATTGAATATGTCGTTAACGAAAGGTAGGGAGGTTAGTCGCCGAAGTTGTCGTCAACAACAATATCATTTCCTTGTCGCCCAAGTTGTCTTGCATGAATACTGCGACACTTGTGTGAAAATATCGTCAACGATTTCACATTGCTGTCTACAAAGTGTCTTCAAGGAATTGCCATTGTCTTACCCGATTCGTTGATGTTGTCTTCAAGACACTTTCTACTGGGGGTTATTTTCTTCTTTTTAAAGTCTTCAAATATATGTATACAAAGTTACATTTTATTTGTCAGTCGGTTGAACATTTGTTTAAATTTGAAATAGAGAATGGGTGAGGTCCCCTTCTTAAACCCTACGATCAATAATCGGGTACATTTTTAACTTTTTATTTAAAATGCTGTAAATTTTGAGGAATGATTCCTGAGATGTTTTTACTCATACCCAGTAGTAATTTCGTTCTAGCTTTCGAATGAGTTAGGTTTTTTAATTATTTTCTATAGGGATCTTATTTTGGTGTTCCTCAACTCTTCTGCAATTTTTGTAGCCCTCGTAGGTAACTTGTAGAATTCAGCAACCACCACCAGTGATTATTATCAATTATTCACATGTTATTTGTTTAGCTTGGTGTTTAAGACAGACTTTGAAAAATTATTATAGCATACTTTTAGGATGTACGACTGTCCACAAAATCAAATATCGTAAAATCAGTTGTATTTTACGTTTAAGCCTAAAATTGACTTCAATTTTTGTTTGTGATTGAAAGTTATTCGATTTCTAACATACGGTGTCATATGTATGGTAGCTATATGCGAGGATTTTATTTGGGAATTTTTTCAAGGTTTAGCATAGTGTGAAATTTTTAAAAGAGTATTTGTTTCGTGGCTAAACAGAAAGTTTAATAAAAATAAGTTTTTTATTTGAAAAATGTGTGCATATAGAAATCGTCATATATCTCCACAAATGTATAAACAATGGCCACCAACCACTTTTCAAACTAAACAATAGTCGTATGCATCAAATTCCCATGCCTATTATGAAAAGTTGTTCCCTTTGAAGTAATCTCCCCACCCCGTGACACTTTGGTGTCAATAACACAATCAATCTCTTAATATTTCCATGAAAACAATTACAAAAAAGACCACTGAATCATAGTTATGGTGGACATTGCCATATATGCTAAAACATGATTTACAGGCAATGATTATTTTCATTTTTAATTAAATGTCGTTTAAATTCGTTTGTGAATGACCAGTTGTTTCGATAAATGTCGTTTACATAGAAATTACTGGGGGTACAAATCTCACTAAATCATTCATCTTTGATTTGTTGCTCATCAATCATGAAAAAGGCCTGATGACCATATACATATATATGTATACAATAACGGTTTAGCGAAATAGGGAATGCGGCTGATTTTTAGCTAAATTGGAGTGGATTTTTAAAGAATATTATTTTCAAATAGCCAAATAGGCGTGGATTTTTATACCATTCACCACACTGTGGTACAGGGTATTATGTATTTGTGCATATGTTTGTAACAGGCAAAAGGAAACGATATAGACCCATGTTTCCTTTTGAGAATATGCATAGAATCACTTTCTGAATCGATTTATGCATGACTGTCCGTCTGTCCGTCTGTTGGTGTTAAATTGTAAACAAAGTACAGGTCGCATTTATAATCCGATATGGATGAAATTTGGTACAGCTCATTTGTTTGGCCCAAAGACGAACCCTATTGATATTGGGAAAATCGGTTCAGATTTATATATAGCTCCTATATACAATTTCGTCCGATTTAAGGTATATTGTGTACCAAAGACCCTATATATCTTTCGATTTGCACGCAATTTTGCACAGCGTAATGAATAAGGTCTAGAATGATGTGTGCAAAGTTTCGTAAAAATCGGTTCAGATTTAGATATAGCTTCAGCCGATTTTAGGCAAATAGTCCAATAAAGTCCCTGGAAATCTTTTGATTTGCATGAATTTTGGCATAGCGTACTGAGTTAAACTTTGAACACATCATTTTAATGTGTGCAATGTTTTGTGACAATCGGTTCAGATTTAGATATAGCTCCCAAATATATATTTTCGTCCGATTTAATGTAATTGGTGCACCAAAGACCCTATATATCTTTCGATTTGCACGAAATTTAGCATAGCATACTGAATTGCGTCTATAATAATGTGTGCTAAGTTTCATGAAAATCGGGTCAGTATTAGATATAACTCCCATATATAGTTTCGTCCGATTTAAGGCAAATGGTGCGCTAAATATCTTTCGATTTGCACGAAATTTGGCATAGCGCACTGAATTGAGTCTATGTTTCGTGAAAATCGAAAGTTTGGCGAAAATCGGTTCAGATTTAGATATTGTTCCCATATAAATATTAGTCCGATTTCTTGTAAATGGTGCACCAAAGTACCTATATATCTTTCGATTTGCATGAAATTTGCACATCGTACTAAATGAAGACTAGAATGATGTGTGCTAAGTTTCGTGAACATCTCCCACATATATATTTTCGTCTGATTTTAGGTAAATGTTGCACCACGGGTGTCTGACTGAAATTAAGTTTTGAAGAGTGCGGCGTACCGAATATCTCGTATTAAGTTTGCTATAAATCAATTTTCTTTTCAAATAGCCAAAAAGGCGTGGATTTTCAAAGAATATTCTTTAAAAATCCACACCTCTTGGCTGCTTGAAAAGAATATTCTTTGAAAATTCACGCCTCTTCGTGGATTTTTAAAAAATATTTTTTTTCTTTCAAGTAGCCAAACCATGGATATTAAAAAATATTTATATATTTATTTAGTGCGTGGAGTTTAATTTTTTTTTTCAAGTAGCCTAGAAGGTGTGGATTTTAACAATGTTTTGATAATTTGCCAAATATGTTTTCTTGAAATTTGTTCTAGTAAATCGTGTATTTTTTTATTTTTTTAATATATCTATTTAACAAATCCCTGTAATTTTACTGCAAATACATTATATATAAAAATATAATGAAAATAAACAATATATTAAATCATCTAAAATCTTCAAGTCAAATGTCAATACAATGATGAATATGCAATTTTTTTGCCTGAAACCAGGAAATATTCACTTCATAATTCCTGCAACATTTTGGTGACCTTCAGACAACAAATCGTGTATCATCATGCAATGCTGAATTACAAAACAAAACAACAACCATGTAAAGATATGTGCTGTTGTTGTTAATTTTTGCAAGAATCTCATTTGTTATTAAAATCTAAGCAGAAATTGTTTTAAATTAGCCAACTGCCATATGTTTTTTACATATATAATTAACATAATTAATAGATAATAAATTGTCGCTTTTGCACATGACAATGATGATCATTATCGACATCATTTGCAGCATCATTATTATTATGCTCATTAACTAAAAATAGTAGCATACATACTAACATAAGTTGCGGGTAGTCGTAGTGGTTGTAGTGTCTCAATGGCACACAAATTAATTCATTAATGCAAATGACATAAAGACGTGT